TAGCTACAGTGGGTGGACCTTTTTTATTGGTATTGTTGCTTTAATGTAAATATATAGTATGTATGTCTTTTGATTTGAAAGAAAGAGTAGATGCTCCACATAGGTTGTTGATGAATCTTATTGTTGCCTGTATATTGGTTGTTGGCTGGAAGGAGCTATGCTCCTGACTTATACTGTTAGTTGTAAAAAATTTTGTTGTAGAATTTTCGGGAGATCCTAGTTACAGGGGAGGTTCTGCCAAAATTTCTACAAATATGTCAACACTTTCTAAACAAAATGAAATGAAATAGATGTTTATTTGGAGGCTTACGGGAATGTGAGAACGGTTCACACCCGTGCCGGTCACCCTCTATATTGGGGCGTGACATTACCCATATAGGTTTTATTGATCTTTTGAGATAGCTTTAGTTCAGTACGAGTTTGAGTTGTGTCCTTTTAAGGACATTTGATGGTTTAAGGTCATTTTGCTATTATGCTCTATTTTGTTTTAGAAACAATGAGATGCTTTATGTCATTTGTTTCTCTATAAGATTCAATGATTCGTGTTTATGCATCTTGTATCACTTGTTTCCTCTTGGGAGTGATGTTGTGTTGTTTCTCTACTAAGCTTTAGTTTTTGGTTTGAGATGTTACGATGTTTTATATCATTTGTCTCCCCATAAAATTCAATTATTTGTATTAGTGCACCTCATGTCACTTGTTTCCTTATAGAATTTAGTGACTCTGTGACATTTCTTTATTGAATTGCGGTTCGAAGAACTGCTTTATGTACAATTTAGTTAGATGCATATATATCATTTATATCTCCATAGGATTCAATGATTTTGTTATGGTATGTTATACATGTCACTTGTTTCCTCATAAAAATCAGTGAATTTATGTTATTATCTTGTTGAACTGTATTTGGGATAAAATTTTGTATTCTATTCTATTTAGATCAGGAAACACTGCTTTTGTGTCTAATTATCACTTGCTTCCCAATAGAATCCAATGATGATTTTCTGAATCTTGCTAGTAGCCCAATGTTATTTAATTAATGTAATACAAATAAGAGATTGTTGAAATATTTATAATATATATATTATGGATTTGCATTAATTAGATATTAAGCCCAGAATAGATTAGTCTTTATGATCTTGTGTAGACCGTAATAGGTGAAGTACACAAGTGAACCCGATAGACAAAGGCCCAATCGACAACCCCATAATAGCTAGTTGTTCCCTATCTATTAACTAACCAAGTCAAAGATAATGTGAAATTAATTAATTAATTAATTAATTATTGAGGCAGTTACTGAGATGATCCATATAATACAATTTGTCAATAACTACCACACATATCTTTGTTCACTCTCTCCATCATCTTTGTACTTTTTAAAAACTGCAAGGGCTTAATAGATTGTAAGTCTGCTTAAACTCGAGGTAATCAAAGTTTTATTATTGACTTATATTTTTCCTAAATCAATGGATTCATAGGTACGCCTAGCAATTTAACAATATATATGTTAGGTCATTAGTTTGTAAATTGTATGAAGCATAATAACAAATAAACCTAGAAAATTAATAAGATTGGTATAGGAAATTAACAAGTGATAATATTGAATGGAATATGAATTTGTTGGTTTATGAATTGTATGAAGTATAATAACAAATAAACCTAGAAAACTTACAAGTGTTATATATATAAAAGAGTAACAAGTGATACTAAATGAAAAACTTAAGTGTAGATCTTTGTAGCAGGCATCTAGTTTGAGATCTATTTCAATATCATACAGTTAATGTTATTATAAGTAGCATATGTATTAACAATGTGAATGACTGTCTTGTAAGATGAAGTATCTGCCTTAAAATTGACTTGTTCTAGTGACTAAAGGATCATCCATATGCAAAACCCTTTCACTAATTTCAAATATTGAGTCAGCCTAAAAGAAAAGGTGACGACATAGTTGAAGCATGCATTTTTTTAAGTTCTCCCTTTTGTAATTAGAGGTGGAATTTAAATTGATAGCAAAATTAACTTCCTTGTGCTAAAATGTAATTAGGGATAAAATGTATTTGACAATTGCTCTTTTTTAATTAGAGATAAAATGTAAATTGACAAGTGATGTCAAACATTATCAAGTAATGTTATTTAGTTAACAAGTAATATTATATAGCATAGTTGTCAAGCTCTTGAGTTAACTCTAATTTTATCATTTTTATGTTTCTAGGTCATAAAATTATATTAACTCGCTCATCAATTTGAACTAGATGAAACTCAATTAAACTCACGAGTTGCCTATCTGAGTTTACTGTTTTTAAGTTTTTAACTTATAAAAATGTGTCAACTTACTCATAAACTGAACTATATACAAACTCGGTTAAACTTGCTAAACTCATTAATTGTTTACCAAGTTGAGCAAATTAGGTATGTATTATATAGAACTCAATTCATAAAAACGGTAGGACATGTTTCAAAGAAAAATAAAACTCAAAAAGAAAAATATTAATATTAATAAAAAAGAAAACAACAAAAATAAGTTGCCATATTTTGAAATTTCTATATTGAGTATGAAAATCTATCAATGTGGGTGAATTTAGTTTTAATGATTTATATTTGAAATATATATATATATATATATATTTAAATCAAATTATAATCATATTTTATATTTTAATTATTTAATTGCATAATTTTAATGGCTATTTATTAATAAAAATAAACTCTTACAAATTTATGATCCAATTTTATCATTCAAGTTTACTTCCTCATCATGAGTTTAGTTAAATTTACGAGTTTGACAACATTGTTATGTACTCTCTCCATCTCAAATTATAAAATACTTTTAGATAAAATTTCACGTATCAATAAATCTTATTAAATACACTTAACAACCTTATTTTTTCAAAACAAAAATATAAAGTTTCAAAAATACCTATCATTTAATACACTGAAAACAGAAAGGATGAAAATTAATTATAGAGAGAGAAAGGGTAATATTAAAATTAGTGCATTTTAATAAAACCTTAATCTATTCACAGTGTTTTATATTTTAGGATGGAGAAACTCTTTTAAAAGTGCCCTATAATTTGAGACGTAGGGAGTAGTTTATAATTTATGATAATAATTTCACAAGTAACGGATTTATTACAGGTTTGATATTGAATAAGTAAGATATCAAGTGTCATTTAATAAGTAATGATAGAAAATTAATAAGTGCTATTAAGAAATTAACAAGTAAAGTCATGCAATTAGCAAGTAATTTAGTTGCTTTTTGAATCAATAGAATAAACAAGTCTTGTCATGGTACCAACAAGTTAAATTACGAAATTAACAAATGCTATTGCAAAATTAACAATTAAAGTTGAGAATTTAACAAGTAATGTAGTTGGGCTTAGGAAGTTACAAATCAACAAAGTAAAGTTAAATAGTTAACAAGTCTTATTATGAAATTAACAAGTAAAATTATGTGATTAACAAGTCATCTAGTTCAGTTGAGAAAGTCATGAATTTAACAAGTAATCAACAAATCCTATTGAGTAATTAACAAGTAAAGTTGCCCTTGCCTTGTTTCTTTCTTTTAAAGAAGGTTATTTCAGTCATTTTGAATAATAATTTTATTTCATTTTAAACCAAAATTCCTAATAGAGTATTTTCAAAATGTTTTGGGCTGGATTTAAAAATGTCACATCCATGATCCTTAAATGAAATTCTCCCTTTTTAAAATCTTTTTTAGATTTTTACTAACATAATTTATATAATTTTTCATTTTTCAACTTATTATATATTATGCATTTCCTACATGTTTATTGAAACTATATTTATTTTTATTTATTTTTTATATTTTTAGTGAAATTATTTTGTACACTTATAGTACATTTGGATTCTAAACAATATCATCAATATATTTAATTTGTTGACTAGTACAAATTTCACCTTCATATACTTAATTTATAATTTTAAATAATTCTTACCTTCCTGTGCCTAATTTTTTGTTATAGTCTAATTCTTTTAACAAATCAATACGTGGGGCAAGTTAAATTTTGTTATTGGTAGAGTTTTCTTCTGTGCTTCATCACACAAAAATGTCATGAGGATGAGCAGGTGAGGTTGTAGCAATGGTGGGCCGTTTCCACATTCACAGACGGAAACGATGACTTGTAAAAATATCAAGAGTATGAGGATGAGGAGGAAAGGCCTACCTGGGAGAGAAATAGAGTGGAAGTAGAATTAGAAGTAGAGACCATTATGAACCCAACTCAAGTGGGCCTAAATGCATGCCCAATGGATCAATCGTCCAATACTCACAATGACTTGGAAATTGCGTAACATGGAGCTTGAGTGATTCAACTGTAAGAGAGATTCTTATACGGGCCCAATGCACCAGTTAATTGTAGACTATCTCATAAAATCACATTATTTGAATTGAAATAAATTTTATGTGTAATTATTTCTAGTGATTTTATTTTTGAAATAGAATATCTCTTTGATTTCTTGGCTTTTTTTCTTTTTATCATCATTAACAGCAAATTCAATTTATATTTACAGCTTGAATAAATTATAAATAACCTAGTACACAAGGTGATTGAAAGAATTTCTTTGGAGGATAATGACGACAAAACCGGCTATGGGAGGGAGTAAAATGCTTGTGTAATCGTCCTCCGGGTAGATTCTTCCCTCTGCTCCTTTTGTGTTAATTTCTTGCTTATCAGAACTCTTTTGTTGCTCATATATTGCAATGTTATATGACCGGTTAGTCTATGAATCAGTAAAACGTCATTGTTATTAATTTGCTCCGAGAATTTTGTGTATCCCAGAGACCAATTAGCACGTGTCAAGCAATTATGTTGGTCATTGGCTGCAACGGTGAACATACGCAAACCATGACGTTTCCTGCGAAACCACGCTATTTCCTTCCCCTCCTTCATTTTTGGAAATTGTAGTCTCTCTGATCTTCTTCCATTTCCTCCTTAAATACCCTCTTCACCTTCCTCCTCACCTCACCACACACCCCACTAATTCTCTCAACCCTAGCTAAGTCTTCTAGCAAGCAGCCGGTGGCGCTGCCGCTTGTCGTGGTTGTGGTTGTGACGACGACGACGACGACAACAAAGATATGGTAGATGTCTCTAATGCGTTGCACAGGTTGAAGCCGGCCATGTTAATGGTAGTGGTTCAGATAGCATACGCCGGGGTCAATGTACTGTACAAGCTCGCCGTCAACGACGGCATGAACCTAAGAGTCGTCGTTGCCTACCGCTTTATCTTCGCCACTGTTTTCATTGCTCCTCTTGCTCTCGTTCTGGAATGGTCAGTTTCGTATTATCTGACAATAGTTTCAATGAATATATCTATGCCTCTTTTTCATTAAATAATGACAAAAGGTAAACAATTTGCAGGAAGAAGAGACCAAAGATGACTTGGAAGATATTGTTTCAAGCATTTCTTTGTGGTTTATTCGGGTCAGTATTTGTGTGCGCTTTGGGCTTTTCTGTTTATATTCGAATAACTAGCTAGTTTGACATGATTTCTTTTTAATGACAAGTAAAAGGTAAAATGGCCCTTCAAGCTATCTGAACTCTAACGAAAACGTTGAGGATTCGAATTTTTGAGAGAGCACCACTACAGAGGAGGGTACCTAACCAGGCCACTTGTCAGAACTCCGATATTAGTTCTGGTGGCTAGTAGTCCTACACGTTAAAAAAACAAAAAAAACTACTTTGTATACCCCTTTTCATCTTATTCATGAGGTATAAAATATTCTTTTAATTTTATTCACATGTTACTCCAATATTTAATACCGATGTCAATGGTACCCCGCATCCCCTTAAAAGAGAGAGGTTTGTGGGTTCCACTGCTACAGCACATGTAATGAAGGTGCGTGTAAGAGTATAGTAAGTTTGAACCTCTTCCCTTTGGAGGAAAGGTCACCCTTCCCCTATGGAAAAAAGATAGGTATTCCTTTTGTACTATAATACAGGTTATTTTTTGAAAACTTTTTAATCAAAAATATAAGATATTAGATAATTTTTATAATTATTTTTTAACTATACTCCTACTTTAATTATGACTCTTTTTGAAAAAAATCATATATACATTAAAATTTTAATTATCATTATTAAAGCACTTATATAATGTATTTAAGGGGTTAAAATTGAAAAGATGTAATTTTTTAAAAAAATTAAGATTTTAGCTAACATTTTTTATAAATCATGAATTAGTTATTAATGTTTTATATTTGATCCGGTGTGTGGATGATGTTTGTATTTAATCCATTTCCAAAAATATTAATGCTGATGTTTCTTTGGGAAGTGGCAATTTTAGTGAGAATTAAATGCAAAGCTAATAAGTATTGCAAGGTACAAAGCATGGAGAATGACTAGTATATGTAGCCTTTTCTAGACCTCGAGTACTATTTTGGCCTGTTCTTCAATGAATCAAAGAAGATGTAATTCAATGTACTATTAAGAAATACAATGTAATGTAATGATAATTATTGTATATTTATTTGGCACGTCATGGGGATAAATAGAATTTTTATATGATAAAATACCAAAAAATTCTAAATGAGTCTTTTACCCTAATTAAAAAAAAAAACTCCCCACTTCTCCTTCCTTGACGAGGGCTTTTTGGCAACATCACTGGTGCAGATCAACACCAATTTCTAGTGGGATAAGTGAAATTTTAAATAGAGACAAGTGAATTTATTTTGAAGTGATGGAGGGCAATTAATATTTTTTAAGGGAGGCGACTAAAATTATTTAGGGCATTAACAATTGTGGGTGCAATTGCCTCCACTAGAGTATTATACGTGGGCAGGTCCCTAATCATATGATGAAGAAAGTTGAAGAAGAAGAAGAAGAGACTGGACAAGAATGAGTGGTGTGAGCAGGAGGAGGGCAGGTGTGAATGATCATGGATGCAGAGACTCACCGCTGATGTGTGGAGGAGATTCTCCAGTGGAAAAGGCATCAAAGGTGGAGGACGCCGATGAAGGAGTTGAAAAGTGAGGAGAAGCATAGAGGGGGATTACGTAGGTCTATTGCTGTAATTCCAATTACCGCATTTGAGGTTCTTTTTCGTGGAAAAATATCATCTAAGGATCCCTATAGTGTTTTGATATTACATAAGGGCCCTAAAAAAATAAGATTTTTTGGAAAAGATCTAATTACGTTATAGTGTTTTATGAGTCTTTATTCAGTATAAACAATAGAGTAATCGGGTATTGACAAGTTATTATATATAATTAACAAGCAGACGTTTGTTTATGAATAAGTTACAAAAGTTTATAGACATGGTTTATTGAATATTGTTTTGTGACAAATAAATTAAATAAATAAGTAATATTGTGATACATATATTTTATTGTAGAGGATCATTGGCACAAAACTTATATTTGGAAGCATTGGCTTTAACGTCGGCGACCTTTGTTTCAGCGATGGCCAACCTTATTCCAGCTATCACCTTTATAATGGCGGTCTCTTTTCAGTAAGTTTCCTTGCAGTTAGAACTTTCTTTCTTCTTTTTTATTTTATCATTTTCTTAAATTTCTTAGTTCAATCCTTTCTCTTTGTTCTTTTCTCACAAACATATAACATTGGTTAGCTTTAGCGATGCACGATTTTTCTTGTAAACACTGAACACATCTCTGATTTCGCCTCCACAAAAGTTTCCTTCATTTATGGTTCTTTGTGTAAACCTTTTTTTTTTCCTCCAACCAACTTTTCTTTATGATAAAATATAACTTTTAATTCCTAAATTTTTTTTTTCAATTATCAATTCAATCTCTTAACTTTACAAATTAAAAGAACTCAATCGGTAGTTGTATCTTAACTCGAAACAACTCGATCTTATAATATTGTGATTTAGTACAACTCGATGTCTATAATTATTTAAATCAATAAACTGCATTGACTAAGCTATGTTGAGTTATATTTCAGCAATTAAATTGATAATTGAAAGAAATTAATTTAGAGACTAAAAGTTATATTATTCTTGTCTTTATATATAGCAACTTTGCTCGAAAATTGCTATACAATAATATCACTACAAATTAACATCCAAAATTTACAAATCATGAATAATATGACTTATTTTTGAAATTATGATCAATAGCTTGGAAAGTTTGAGTTTAAGAACATCATCAGGAAAAGCCAAGATTGTTGGAACAGTAACAGGAGTAAGTGGGGCTATGATTATGACATTTTTCAAAGGTTCAGAAATACACACAGGCTCCTTCCACATCACCCTCATGCATCATCATAATGGACACATGGCATCACCACAGTCTTCCTCTAGGGGTAACACCCTCTTAGGTGCTCTTTGCGTTCTAGGAAGCAACTTTAGTTATGCTTTGTGGCTCATCATTCAGGTCTTTCTCTTTGACCCAACTATATGTTGTTTTACTTCTTTTTCTTGTCATTGTTGTTTACTTACTACAAATTAAACATTTTTTTTTCCTTGGGTTAATGCAATACAGACAAAGATGAGTAAGAATTACCCATGTCATTACTCAAGTACAGCTTTGATGAGTATCATGGGATCACTCTTATCTGTTGCTTTTGCTCTTTATCTTGAGAGGGATTGGACACAATGGAAGCTGGGTTGGAATGTCAGGCTTCTCACTATAACTTATACGGTATTATCTTTTTTTTTATTATAGGAGAAACTAGCATATGCTTAATTTCTTTCATAAGCAATGCTATAATTTTTTTTTTTCGTTTTGCACATTGATCAATTTTTTTTAATGACATGAATTTTGATTATGAATATAAGGAATAGTTATGTCTGGAGTAATGGTGGTAGTAATGGCATGGTGTATGCATATGAGAGGCCCTCTTTACGTCTCTGCTTTTAGTCCTCTCATGCTTGTTTTTGTAGCCATTGCTAGTTGTTTCATGTTGGATGAGAAGCTATATCTTGGAAGGTACTTTTTTTTCTGATTTTATAAGATTTTTTTTAACGTTTTGATGTTCTATGATATAAGATGTTCAAAAAAATAATAATGATTCATCAATAAAGCAATTATTCTAAAATAATGATTGTTACTTGCTTTCACTCCATAAATGATTAGGGTATTTTTAAAAATTTCTATATATGTATATATATATATATATATATTAAAAAAATTAAAATTTCAAATTATAGTTTACCTGACTTCATTGATATTTACTATAACTTCATCAAAAATTATCTTATAAAATGAGATAGAAAGAATATACACACATGTGTGCCCTTCACTTGCAAGCTCACTAACACATGCCAACATACAAGCACAAGCAGAGCAGACTCAGCATTTAATTAGAAGGGGTCAAGATTAGTATATAATATAAAGTTTACATAAATTTTGTGGGGATAAAAAATGTATAGTATCAATGGTTGTCACTGGTCTCCCCTCTCTCATTAAGCACGACTTTTAGTATACTCTTATCGTGAAAACAAATTTTAAAAAACACACAATTTTCTAACAATAGTGCATTTGAAATTCTTAAGCGTGCATGGTTGTGTTCACATGCATGCACATACATAACATATAGGCTCATGTTTGATCATAAGCACGCGCGCACGTTATATACAATAAGTTCATTTATGATTTATGACTTTTTATCACAATTTGCAGTGTAATTGGAGGGGTATTGATAATCTGTGGATTATATGGAATTTTATGGGGGAAAATCAAAGAGATGAAGAAGATGAATCAACTTGTTCCGTCTCAAAGCCTCCACGAAATTATTGTGAGATCTCCCACAGAAGATAAATGTATCCCTCATAACAACAATAATAGTAACGTTGAAGGTGTTAGAGATAATGACTGTTCCTCAGAAAATGCTAATGAAGCTTCAAAGGATAATCAGAACGAAAGGCAAAGATCAATGGAGGAGGAAAAAGAAGCAACTATATCAATAGCTAGCTAGTTGTCCCAGTAACAACACCACTACTTCTCAAGTATGAAGTATAGGGTTCAAATCATTGACATGCGTGAGTGTGTGGATGTGTGTATCTTTTTTTTTTTTCTTTAGCTTTAACAAATAGCTAAGTTAGGAGTAAAATTTAAATAAAAAAAGTTTAAATGACAGCTAACAAGCAACTCAAGCATTACGACTGTCAATGATGCATAATTACTAGATATATAATTAAAATTATAGGATTTTTTCTTGAATTTAATTGAAATTATGGGATCCTGATATATTTTTAAAACTTGGACCTTCTTTTAAAATAATATAATTAACTGGATTTCCTTAATTTTTCTTATAAAAGTTACATAAATTAACTTTCTTTTTCTGGATCTACACAATACACAATCACCCATAAAATTTTCAAATTACATAAATATTATCCTATTTTTAGGAAAGGTTTGTCTTTGAAAATAAAATGGTTCAATATCTAAGTGAGTTATGTGAAATTTTAATAATTTTAATAACTTACTTCTAATTTTATGAAAAATATACAATTTAAAATTTTATTTATTAATTTCTATTTTAAAAATATTCATCTAATTTCTTACCATATGTTAGGATGGGAATCTTCAAGCTGAAAGTCTAATTGCCAATGCAATGATGGAAAATAATTACTTGTTTGAATCTATATGTAGCAGGAATTTGATGATGAATAGTTAAAACAGTTTTTTTTAAAGCATAACTAACATATTTATCTAGAAGTTAGTACTCCCTTTGATCTTATTTATAAGTTATTTTTAATATGTTTCACTGGAATCAAGGAAAACCTTAAACTTTATTAAATTTATCTTAAAATTTAACAAATTTTTACCTTTACCCCTAATAAATGTTTTTAAACATCATTAATAGTATTTTTATTCAAAGTATTTAAGCAAGTGCCCTTTATATTATATTTGAAAATAAAATGGGTCCCATATCAAAGTGAGTTATGTTTAATTTTAATAATTTTTTGAAGGAGTTTGTATTCATTTTTTCTGTTTGTAGTTCAAAAGCATATTTCAAGAAAATTTTGTATAATTTACTCCTAATTGTATGAAAACTATAAAATTTTAATTTTTTATTCATTAATTTCTATTTTAAAAATATTCATCTAATTTCAAGCTGAAAGTCTAATTGCCAATACAAAGATGGAAAATAATTATTAGTTTGAATCTATATGTAGCAGGAATTAGACTAGAATAGTTAAATTTTTTTTCCTGAAGTATAATTAACATATTTATCCACTAAAAGAAGTTTTTATTTTTTATTATTGAAATTCAAGTTAATCTGACCAGTTAAATTGATAAACCATTAAAATAACAAAAAATAATTATGTTGGATTTATTTGGAATCCTTTGATGCTCATGACGCTCACTTATGCATGTCTCTGTGTGTGTGAATTCGATTTTAACATGCGTTGAAATTTGAAAAAAAAAAAAACTAGGGATATTATAGATACTAACGCATGCTTAGATAATAAGTTTTTGGTCAAATGAATTTTAAAGGTTTTATTTAAAATAAAAAGGTTGTTTTAATTAAAAGGAGCTTTTTTTTTGGGTAAAGGGACAATTTATTATAATTAAAATCTAAACATACGCAAACTGAAGCAACACTCAGATGTCTACTGCAAGGGGGGGGGGATTAAACATGTTTTATTCTTGGACAGTCCAAAATTTGTTGTTTGATTTCTTGTTTTTTTGGTATTTTCTTAAATTAAATTTTTATTCTTTATAATTAGTTGATAGTTCAAACAGAGAAGGTTTCTATAATCTAGAGGAGGATCCTTCAAAATTTTAGAATCCAAATCAATGCTGTGAGCGAAATTTACCATGAAGTTAGCACATAGGCATTGGTATTTTATTTATTTATTTATTTATTGCCAACAGGGATTGGTATTTTATTTATTCATGAGTAACATTTTAATCCCTCGTCAAAAATTAAAAATCGGGTGGTTTTTTGGGCCAAAAAGCCGAGTGGTTATTGTCATTGATGTTCATGATTCTATGGATAGCGTCCATGAAATCTGTGTGCAATTAACTGGATGGTATTTTTGTGTATATATGTATAAATATTCTCCATATTTTAAATTAAACTTGTAATATTGTAAGTGGCGTAAATAATAATTTACTCTAGTTTAAATCAATATCTGGATTATTACTCAATATATACCATAAAAATTATTACCACACTCTTAATTAAAGTAGTCTCGTCCGTCAAAAATATTTTGAGGTTAAGGTGCAGCCTTTCGGCCATACCTTTTTAACGCTGTAACAAATATCTTCTCTTCACCTTTTGTCGCCACTTTCTATATGCACTCCGCAGCAACCTCCACTAATTGGTAGGTCAGTAAGCCACTAAGTGCACCTTTTTGAAGGCATTAAACAATTATGCAGATGAAGTATCAATATTTTAAAAATCAGACTAGAAGATGAACTAAAAATGTCAGCAAGTCACATTATGTTTTTATGGTTTAACTATTAGACTGGTAGTCTAATTGATAATATAATCATTAAATAAAAAAATAATATTTACATACATACATACATACATAATATATATATATATATATATATATTAAAAAATGGTCCAACTATTTAGGGTCTTGGGTTTTTCTTTGGATCTTCAAGAACTGTCCAAGTCAAAACGGCCCAAATTAGGTCAACTTTTAAAATAGGCCAAATGATTGAATCAAATCACTTTTGTAACATCCTAAGTTTTCTCATTAGTAATTATCAGTATTTTTAAGGGTAATTTGATCAATTTAAATAACTTGTTATTTAGCAAGGTTTATAGAGACTAATATGATTTTTAGATCCTTTGACAACCTTAGAAGACGGCTAGGTTGAGGTTCAAGTGGCCCATAGCATGAAAGGGAATTTAAAATTTTGTGGGGCTTTTTGTGCCATGCGCCGCAGCGGGCGTGTCGATGCGCCACGGCGCACGTACAAAATTTGCACTTATCAAATGCGAAAAAAAAGATCAAAAATAAAAGAGAAAAAGAGAGATAATGAGAGAGCGACGGAGGAAAGCTTATGATCTGTTAGGGCATGATTCCTAGGCTACTTTGAGGGAATTTGGAGCTTGATTCACCATTGGGTAAGTTGTACATTCTCTCTTCTCCCTCTTTTATGCGAAAATCTAAACATTTGGGGTAATGAGGGCTTTAATTTCGATTTTCTTGGGTTTAGATTGAACCCATTAGTTTATTTAAGATCTTGAGGAGTTAAATCAAGCTTCTAACCCTAAGTTTATGAGTTTTGTGGTGATTGAGAATTTTTGGTAAGGGTTTAAACAAACCCTAAGTATAATTTGAGAATTTTGAGATAATGTGGGACATTAATTAGTGAATTTGGTATGTTAGGACGTTTAATAGGATGGTTAGAGTGTGTGGGAATGGTTGGTATTGTTAGAAAGGGAATTTGAGTATTTGAAGCACTTAGAATCTAGTGAATTCAGAGTTATCCGGAGTAATAATTGATGATTGTCACTTATTGGTGTAGATTGAGCATTGCTCGAGCCATATCATGCATATAGAATGTGTGGAACTAACGTTGAGCTACGGTAACCCTTTTTGTGTGACAAAGGGGTTGAGGTAATCATATAGTTTATTGTATTTATTAACTATTATAATTGTGTAGAAGTAATTACTAATGATAAAATTGTGGTTTTTAAAAAGTTTTGTGCATAATTTGACATTATAAATGATTTTAACATGAAAAATTAATTTGTAAATGGTTGTTGATTTTAATTGAAATGTATATACTATGTATATAGGTTTGTGATCTGGAAATGTGATGAAAAATGGTGGAAAATTTTGAAAGAGCATGATCATAGGAGTTGAGAGTTCACCTAAGATATGCGGAAATATGTATGTGTGGAAATATGTGAGAGAAAAATTCATATGGTCGGGCTGACATCATGAGACATCCAGTGCAGTAATATATGGGACTGTTACTATGGGACATCCGGGCAGTCTGAAAACTCTATAGTACTCGTTAGGATACCGTTAGGAGTCAACGATGCCTTATTACAAGTGTGTGAAGAGGGAAAAATCATAGTCCGTAGGCGAGTTAGATTACCTTTAGCCGGGTATTTCTACCACCGAAAGTGTACTTGGGTCAATAAGTGGTTGATCTAAGAGAATATATAGTTTCATGTGGGGAATATTGGAGGTTCAGTGGTTAGACAATCATGTTAGTATAAAACTATGTTTTGTTGAGAAAAGATACACTTATCTCATAATTATGATATATTTGTTATTGCTATAGTTTTGATACTTTTCATGATTATTTGTGATAATAAATATTTGATGAGCTATATTAGTTAATGAAATGTTTATCTCACCCCATGGTTATATTTTACAAATGAGGGCTCCGGTAGGGGCAAGGGGAAGGAAGAATCATTTGAAGAGTGAAGAGCGTTATAGTATAGCTCTTTCCTTTTTCCTTTTTGATTTTATAATGAATATTGCCACTATATATTGCTAACTTAAAAACATGACATTATTTGGATATTATTTGTGTGAATCTTGTGATAAGTATTTATATCTTGGTTCAAGAATGATGTTATGGATTAAGTGTGTTCTTGGCCAAGTTGCTTACATGTGATATATGTCAAGTGTTTTGAGTGCCAAAATGACCAATTGATTTGTGTGTTGAATTTTATCTACCCCGTTGTGTTATTGTCCAATGGGGGTTTGGTGGTCAGTGACTACTTAATTGTGTGATATGAATGAATTGTTATGTGGTGTGTGGTCTATTTGAGGTGGTCAAAGTGTCTCTAGGACTAAAGGCATTGTGTATTGTGAGTCGAACACCATAGTATATGTTTTGTTATGAAAACAAACCATTTTGGATTTGGGTATCTATCTTTTAAATGGATGATTGTTTAGATGTGAAACTAGTGCCATTAGCTAGATGGTTCAAAGAGTTTCGTGTGGACACTTGAACTACTCAAATCAAATGTCGGATGGCGAAACGGAATGCTTCAAAAGTTCGAAGAAAAGTTATGATAGC